TATAAAGTATGATTTTGTCTTTCTCTAAGAGGATGATACTCGATCTGACTTAATAAAGATGAAATACAAAGTATTTATAGTCTTTCACTAAGAATGTTAGTCTCACATTTTGTTGGATATGATCTCTTTCCCTTATTCACTATGTTGCTTTACTCATTTATTTGTTTATATCTTCATCATGAGTTCCCTTTATATAGTAAAGTTGAGAAAGGGTACATACATAGTGGAGGACTAGTTTTTGTGATATTTTAAACACAACTTCAAAATGTTACTTCAACTTTATATGTTGGCCTATATAGTTTTCAAAAGACAATGAATAATTTCAAAACTTTAGAAATGTCATCATTTAATATATTAATGTTCATAGATCACATACCAAAGTTTCATGGTTATGATCTCCCATGAATTATGAAAAATTCACAACAAATCTTCCCATTCCCAAATTATTGGAGGGATATTACTATTCTTACACCTCTACAAATGTCTCTTAGCTTTTTGATTGAAAAAGACATATTTTTTGTATTTGAGAAGAAACCTTAATATGTGCTTAGATGAAAAAGACATAAAAATCAACTATCCAAAAACAATTACAATATGCAACATTTAGATAACTTTGGTATTCTTATTGAAGGTGTGTCAAACAAATTTATATACTTTTTGGAAAAAAAATTTATGGGGTGAAGTGATGATTTCTTCTCTTTGTCTTTGTCCAAATTGTTAAAATTAATAGTAAAAAAATTCTATATTAAAATGAAATAAACTTGTAAATGAGTTTTGTAGAAAAGATGGGTTATTTTTATGTTTTTGCTTTAAATAGGTCTTTTTAACTTACATTTATAAATATTAAATACTTAATCAACATAAAAATGTTAAAGTAGCCATGACAAAACTTAGGTAAAATACCATAGTTATTAGTGGTACAAGTGACCTATTAGAGGATGACATGTTGACATTTTTTGTTTACTTTCAAAGAAATAACATTTTTTAGATTTACAATCAAGCATTTTTTTACATTGAAAGTAAACAAAAAAGTGCATGTATCATCCTCTAATAGGTCACCACTAGCACCTATGGTACTTTACAAAAAAAAAAAAAAAATCATTACGTCTCAACCACTAACAAAGTAATTGATTAATGATTTATAATTCCTGTCTATGGGCTTAGCCCATTGATCAAATATCAGTTTAGCAAAAGTGCGAATGCAAGGTTAAAATTGGAAACACAAAAATGTTGCTATTGTTGTTGTTACTATAATCCTTTGTGTTCTCACAATTCCAAATTCACTTTTCGCAAAAACAAAACAAAACACATTTTTCTCTCTTTCTTTCTCGACTCCGCGGCGTAGATCCGAGGAGTTTGGGAAACCCTAATTGTTCTTAACCTTCGATTTTTCATCACAATTCCTAAGGTTGTTACCTCTCTTTATTCTTCAATCTTCTTCGATTCTATTCGATGCTCGATATGTTTTTTTTAATGGATCTGTTTATGCTTCTTTTAATGTTGTTCTTTCTTAGATTTTACTTATTTAAAATTTTTATTCATATTGATTATGACTATAATTGATGATTTGTTTTGAATCGTGTTTAATGAATACTTTAATCTTATAATTTTTTGTTTGTGTTTGAAGAGTGACATAGTGATATCAATTTAAGTGTTTTAATTATTCTTTTATAATACATCGATGTTATTGTTTTTTACATGATGGTTTATTGCTGCTACTCCCTTTTAGGTTTATACTTTTACTTTTGTTCATTTGTTTTGTGTGCTAAGATTAGATTTTGAAAACTGGAGCTTAGAAATGGTTTGTTCTTCAATTTTTTATCTGAAAAGTGATTTTGTTAATCCCTGATATTTTTTTTGCAGTGTGTTGATAAAAGTTACTTTTGGAGATGTAATTACTCAAAAAAGGATTGTGTTGTTGCTTGAGCTAGATTAGATCGAAAGTAAATTAATGTTAAAAACACCGATTTTAAATAGATTTGCAAGTTTTTTTTACAAATTATTGAGTTATATAGTGGATATTTTTCTCCTAAATGGGTTTTTTTCTCAGAAGCAACTGAATGTTGCTTTTAGGCTGTGGTGTTATCATGTCATTTGAGTGTATATTTTATTTTTCCTTAGGTGGAATCATTTTTTATCACCATGCTTGAGTTTTTAAAGGCTTTTCTGTTGGCTGAATGCCAAACCAATTATGATTTCTAAATTTCATGGTAATACAGTTTCTTTTCATATTGCAGACATGGCAGCAGCACCTGAAGGGTCACAGTTCGATGCTAAGCAATTTGATTCTAAGATGAATGACTTGTAAGAACTCCCCTTAACCTTTTATCTTTCTTAACTAAAAGTACGCAATATGGCTTTATTAGAGTTTTCTTTTACTAATGTTGTTGTTCATGTTTCTACCCTCTTTTAGATACATACTTGCAGTGGGATGCTGATATGTTATTTGTTTGATTTTTTAACTTGATGGCTACAGGCTTACATCTGATGGACAGGATTTCTTCACATCTTATGACGAGGTTCATGATAGTTTTGATGCTATGGGATTGCAAGAAAATCTCCTGAGAGGCATTTATGCATATGGTAGATTCAATGTTCTTTATAGTTTATAACCACTTCTACTTTCTGTTTTTTATTTAGTTTATAACCCAATGAAGTATTTTCATACTTGTGACAACAATGGATATTATATTCTAAATTTTGTACCTAGAAATTCTATTTTTTTTAAAAACTTTCAAACATATGGCGGAATTATAACACTTGGAACGTCTTAATTCTGCTGTACTTGTGTTTATACTATGGACAATTTTCTCCAGCTGTACTTGTGGGCATATACCATATTGTTCATTGTCCTGCTACTGTTTTTTTCCTTGTAATTGTATGTTTAAATCCTTAAAGTAGTGTGGCTTATGCTTAGGTTTTGAGAAGCCATCAGCTATTCAACAAAGGGGAATAGTTCCATTCTGCAAGGGGCTTGATGTTATACAGCAGGCTCAGTCTGGAACTGGAAAGACAGCAACTTTCTGCTCTGGGATTCTGCAGCAGCTTGACTATAGCGTGACTGAATGCCAGGCCTTGGTTTTAGCGCCAACTCGTGAGCTTGCTCAGCAGATTGAGAAGGTTATGCGGGCACTTGGAGACTATCTAGGTGTGAAGGTGCATGCTTGTGTGGGAGGTACCAGTGTTCGCGAAGACCAGCGCATTCTATCAAGCGGTGTTCATGTTGTTGTTGGTACTCCTGGTCGTGTATTTGATATGCTGCGTAGACAGTCACTTAGGGCAGATTACATCAAGATGTTTGTATTGGATGAGGCTGATGAAATGCTTTCTCGGGGTTTTAAAGACCAGGTGCTTTTTAATTCACAACATCTTTTGTCCAGTTTTTTAATTACTAAATTTTTTATCCTATGTTTGTTTGATATGCTGCAATTCTGAGACATGTCTTTACTTTTTGTATCGATGCTAAAGTCATACTTTTATCCAATTTCATCAAATTTCTTCCTTATTTATATTTCTCACTGTTTAAAATATGTTTGAAACTTCAACTCTGTTTCGATCATCAGATGTATGTACTATGTTCCTTTTTTATCTATGTGAAACTCCATATACTAGTAGTCACTATATTATTAAAATGTGAAAGTTATCATCTCTGTACTATATTTTTACTGACCTATTGGTTTAGTGCCCTAAATGAATTTATTTATGCATAGGTTGTTTAAGCTTTCTTTTTTGTTGTTAGATCTATGATATATTCCAGCTGCTTCCATCTAAGATTCAAGTTGGAGTTTTCTCTGCTACTATGCCTCCTGAGGCACTTGAGATCACAAGGAAGTTTATGAATAAACCAGTGAGGATCCTTGTGAAGCGTGATGAGCTTACCTTGGAGGGTATAAAGCAGTTTCATGTCAATGTTGAGAAAGAGGAGTGGAAGCTGGACACTCTCTGTGATCTTTACGAGACATTGGCCATCACTCAGAGTGTCATCTTTGTGAACACCAGAAGGAAGGTTGATTGGCTGACTGACAAGATGCGAAGCCGAGACCACACTGTCTCAGCAACCCATGGAGACATGGACCAGAATACCCGTGACATTATTATGCGTGAATTCCGTTCTGGGTCTTCCCGTGTTTTAATAACTACTGATCTTCTGGCTCGTGGTATCGATGTCCAGCAAGTGTCTCTAGTTATAAACTATGATCTGCCAACACAGCCAGAGAATTATCTCCATCGTATTGGTCGTAGTGGAAGGTTTGGTAGGAAGGGTGTTGCCATCAACTTTGTGACAAAGGACGATGAAAGAATGCTTTTTGACATCCAGAAGTTCTATAATGTGGTAATTGAGGAGCTGCCTTCGAATGTTGCTGAACTCCTCTGATAAATTTTGGGTCCATCAATTAGAGGAAAGTTGGGTTTGTGAGGCAAGTTTTATGTAATGTTTCTCCTTTTGTTTTCTGCTTTTAAACCCTGTTTAGAACATTTTATAGGTGTAGTAATTTAATTTGAAGTTTTTTCAGTGGGTTTAATGTCCAAAGTGTTAAGTCCTCACATTATTGCCCGAACTGGTATATTGCTATGCTACTCTATCCTACTTTCAAAATTACGTACTATGCTCTTATTACTCACTTTATTGTCTTCATTACATAATTTCTCTATTTTCTTCTAATAAGTTTAAATGATGCTGGTTAATACCAAAATATTTAAGTGTTTGTAAAGGTTATACCATTTTCTTTTGTACTACCAAATGTATTTCCTCATATTTCTTGATAATGAATTAATTCATTTTGGAATTTGTTACTGTTGGGAATGGAACCCTTCTTGTTAAACCACTCAGTTGTATACGAATATCAACACTCAACTCAAATAAGTGTTATTAATAACATTGATTCCAGACCTGTATAAAATATTTAGCTTGTTTATCAACACAAAGCTAGGAGTGGAAATAACAGTGGAGCTTGATTCAGCCAGACTCGTGACATAACTTGATGCAATGTGATTAACATGAGAAATTGACCCGATTAAAGCTCACAATTTTCTAGTGGATTAATGACCTCAACTTACTTAATGATGATTATTAATATATGTAGGGAATGAAAGTAATAACAGTTCTTGGAGTATGAAAACGCATGGGGTACAATTATTGAAGGTAACAAACACTTGAGCAATGAAAATGTAATTGTAACATTATAATGTGTGAGGAGAAAGCAGAACCACCCGGGTATTTATACTATTTGTTCCATGCACCCACCTTCACTTTTGCAACAACATCAAATTCTCTATAAAGTATAAACTCAATCACAATTCACTAACAAACAATCACACACCCAAAAATAACCAACCATACCATAAAGGAAAAATACAAATTCAAAGGCCAAAACAACTTTCCAAACTTTCCTATTGGCGACCATAGTTTTATTCTATTATTATATTATTACAATAATAGTATTATATTATTATTATTATTATTCTCACCAACTCATAAATCACCACCTTCACTCAATTTCCCTTTAAATCACTTCTTAAAATCAATTTTTAAATGTTTTTTTAATTTTTTGTGAAACATTTTAAAAAATAATGATTTTTTGAACTTCTAAAAAAATCAATTGCTTTGCAACATTCAATAAATATGAGACCATGAATGATAAAATTATCAAATTCATTGATACCCACACTAATGGTTACCAATAATATTAGTTTATGGGTGAATACAAATATTATCACACCCACCTATGAATACTTGCATAATTATAAATTTATTTTTTATTATATAATAATGAATTTTATTGATTAAAATATATATGTTATTATTTATGTAATAATCAATTATATACATTAGTTATTATAAAATATATAAATATATAATTAAACTTAAAAACTTATTGAGTACCTACAAATTTGTATAGGTATCTGCAAATTACTGTGGGTATGAGATCGAGAAAAAACTACTGCTCTCGCTCTACCCTTGTCATCCCTACGTCATATGCTTAAGATTCTATATATACAAAATTTAACAAATATTTATATATGTAATATATTTAAGGATAAAATCTTAATATTAACCATACCCACGTATCTTATCATTAAGATCACCATTATCTTAGCAAATACTGATAAGAATATATATGTCATAATTTTATTTAATAAAACATAAAATTAGAGTAAGAATGAGGTACAAAAGGAAATTGAAAGGAAGATAAATTGGTTGTAAATATTAGTTTTATGAATGAATTAAATATCAATTTAAATGAAAATTTTCATGAATAATTTTGAATTTACCATTATTAAAATATTCAAAACATTATATCTATTTTAGATCATTATTAAAAAATAATTTGACTGAATTTATTTCCTTATATTTGGAAGGATAATTTTACTGTGTAAAGATTTATATACAACTATTATATCATCCACCACTTATTTGTATTACTAATTTTGGATAATCTAATAATAATTAAATATGAATAGGACAAAACTTATGTGTAGTACCATAAGTGCTAGTGGTACAAGTGATCTATTAGAGGATGATACATTGACATTTTTAACTTTTAACGTAAATAAATTGCTTTATTGTAAATCTAATAAATGTTTATTCTTTATTTATTGAGAAATAGAGTATTTTTTTGACCTTAAAAATAAAAATATATATTCACATGTCATTAATTAATAAGTTACCTGTACCACTAGTATCTATGATATTTTTGTCGGATAAAATGACAATTTGTTATAAACATTCATTCTTTCCTCATTAAGATATGATTATGATTGGAATCTCTTACATATATAAATAATAAGAGAATAAAAATATTCCCTCATTTTGTTCTCTGAAGTGTAAAAAACGGTTATACTTCCCGATGGCGATTTCCGATGAGCCTGAAACTGGAGGCACCGCCTTTGAAACCGACTCAGATCTTCACCGTTCTTCTCTACGGCGGAGACACAGTGCTACCTCTGATTTTGACGCCGATAATTTGGTAACAGATTTAGGCTCCAGTGATTCCTTGAACAGTAAGAGCAATGATGAAGAAGATAATAATGATGATAAGAAACAACACGCAACCGCTGATAACGGGATTCAGAATGATACCGTTGATCGAGAACGAGTCACTGACGTCAAATTCACTTATCGTCCTTACGTTCCGGTTCACCGGAAAATCAAGGAGAGTCCTCTCAGCTCCGGTAACATTTTCAAACAGGTCAATTTCTTTGCGCTAATTCTTGGTTCGAATTTTGCATGTCATGTTTAGTGACGGAATTTCATTTTTTAAACTTACTCCTAGGTATATATTTTTTAAACTTAACTTAAGATTTTTAAACTTACTCTACATTTTAACCATCAATTATAGGAAAATCCGATAGTTTGAATTTGATAGTAGATTTAAACCATTGAATTTTCCTAGAATAAATAACTAAAATGTTGAATAAGTTTTAAAGTTACTCTCCCATTAACCAGATCCTCCTCATATTTTTATTATTGTCATTTGTTAGTGTAATTCACCATAATGCTTATATTTCTACACCAGTTTTACACTAATGACTCATTTGTTTATCACACAATGTTAACCAAAAATTCTCTCAATAACAATAATAATAATAATAGTAATAATTTTAATAATAAATGTAAATCCGAGCAACGTGAACAAAATGGTGTGAACACAAAATTCTTATGACGACTGTTTGTACTATTCTTACACTTTTCAATTGACCAATATATTCAAATAGTGTTGGTTCATCAAAATTTATTCTTACTTTACAACTTTTCAATCAATAAATATGAGTTGAAATATTATTACACTATTCTTACCAAATTAACCCAAGTGAAATTAATGTAAAAAGTGACAAATTGTGTATGCAAGTAATATTTCTACCTAAGTGAAATTAATGTAATGAGTGACAAATCATATACCCAAATGCAATGTTATTGATACCCTATCGGTTAACATGGTTCAAACAATAGTTTATTAATTAAACCATATACCATTTAAGTTATATATGTATATATTAATAAATATAATAAATATTATTATTTGCAATATATAATTCAATTATTGAAATTGTTCAATGGATGACCATGTTACAAGCAACTACCAAGTTGAATGTTGGAATCTTTAATATGCCATTTTGAAATATATGAAAATTTTCATGTGCAAACCGTACTATGTTGTTTGCCCGGTACGGTAAAATACGGGTTGACCATTATTTTCTGGTTTTGATGGGTTTAATTGTATGACCACCAGTTTACCGGTAGAAACGGCTGGTATGGAATGAAATTTATTACTATACCTAAGTGAACCACATACACTTATCACATCCCAAGTAACTATGAGCTGAACCAATTGTACTTCTGTAATAATGAAGTAAATTTGATGTGCAAGTTTTCATGATTTTGTAGTAATAATCATATACATGGTTTGTTGATCTGTCCTGAATGTCATTCATTAGTCATTGAATCTTGTTGTTGAGAAAATCATTCCGTATTTTTTAAACATTAAAATAAGTTAGAAATCAATTTTAATTTGTGTTTATACACTGTAATTTCTTTTTTGTATGTTGATTTTTTGTGTGCAAACAAGACATCCAGGACAGATCTAACAAACCATTTGGCTGCGTGCTACTTGTTTCGTTATGCATATACCACTTGTTACCTTGATCATTTTTATGTGTTTAATAAATTGATTGGGAGAGTTAAGTTTTCCAACCTCCTGTTTTGTCTTATAGGGGCATGCTTAGAAGTTTCTTTTTCTTTTCACATTGTCTGTAATTGTTTTCTTTTACTGATGATAACTAATTAATCAATGAATTACAGAGTCATGCAGGACTGTTCAATCTATGTATAGTAGTTCTTGTTGCAGTGAACAGCAGACTTATCATTGAGAATTTAATGAAGGTTTGCCTCTTCCATTTATTTCATGTCCATCTTGCAGAATTTTAATTTCCATTGTATACCTTTTGATTTATGGCCTCCATTTTGACTGTTCATTTTTTTATTTCTAAATTTTTATCTTTATATTATATGTTTTACAGTATGGTTGGTTGATTAAGTATGATTTTTGGTTTAGCTCAAAATCGTTGAGAGATTGGCCCCTCTTTATGTGTTGGTAAGGAGTTTGATGAATCCCCTAAAAAATTGACTGTGTATTGTGTATCTTTTTTGAAGATTATTTTTTAAAATATTATTTGACATTCTCTTACAATATCTATGCTTCTTTTGCAGTCTTAGTCTAGGAATATTTCCACCTGCTGCCTTTTTTGTTGAAAAGTTGGCATACCAAAAGAGTATTTCTGAACGAGTAAGTGGTCTGGCCAAGTAAGATCTTATTTTATTTCATAGGGAAAAATAATCTGTAACCACATGCTTTCCTTAGTTGTTGTATAATTTGCAATAGTTTAAAACTGCGGTTAATTTTGGTGTTACCTTTTCAATCACATAATTTTCCATATTTACAAACATGGGGATGTTGACTTGAATATTGCAGGTTGTTGTTCTACTTCATATAATCATTACAACTACTGCATTCTTTTATCCAGTTTTAGTAATCCTCAGGTCAGTGTAGACTTCAAAACTGATTCTGGGTCTTCAATTTAGACCTTTTCTTTTTAACATTTGTGATAACGCTATATATATTACTTTTAGAATGACATGCTAACATAATATTATTTTAATTTTATAAAGATGTTATGATTATGAAATTTGTCATCATCGAGGAAGGATGTGTAAAGGGAAAATTGACTACAACTTTGTTGCTTCCTTATATTTAATAATGCATAGCTGGCTTGCCTATTTTATTTATGTATTTATGTTCCCTAAATAAATTATCTTGAGCTGAAATACATTTAATTTGTAGCCAACTAAACTAAAAAAGGTTTATTTGGAAAACTAGCTGATGATATCTTATGGAGCTATTGCTTTTCGGTGCAGGTGTGATTCTGCTTTTGTATCAGGTGTCACATTGATGCTATTAACTTGCATTGTGTGGTTAAAATTGGTGTCATATGTGCATACAAACTATGATATGAGAGCACTTACCGTTTCAAATGAAAAGGTACTGGTTAACTCCCATTTGTAACTTAGAGATAACCCTCAAGCTTGTTGTTTCTACTCTCTTTGAAAAATAATATATTGAAATTGAAAGAGGATATGCTATTCATGTTATGTGATGGTTAGTTTTTGATTAAGACCACCCTACATGACCATAATGTAGACTGATTCCTTCTCCATTTCTCCCTTCTTTCTGCATGCTGACGTTCTGCTAGAATTTGTGCATATTAGTGATATATCCTTTCCCATTTATTCAATCATGTTCCCTTGTTACAGGGAGAAGTATTACCCAATACTTTGAATATGGAATATCCATACAGCGTGAGCTTCAAGAGTTTGGCATACTTCATGGCTGCTCCTACATTATGCTAC